CTTGCCTAGTGTGTGTCAGTCCCTGGGTTCAATCCCTAATGTTGCTTAAAGTCCTAGGGGTTGGGGATTTGGCTCAGTGGCCCTGAGCCTGAGTTTGAACCCCGGTACCCCCCCATAAAAAGTCCTTTAAGGGGTAAATAAAAGTATGAATAAACTACTAACTTTTGGGTCTTTAAATGCTGGAATATGTGTAGGCCAGTGACAGAGCCACTTGCCTAGCGTGTGTCAGTCCCTGAGTTCAATCCCTAATGTTGCTTTAAAAAAGTCCTAGGGGCTGGGGATTTGCTCAGTGGCCCTGAGCCTGAGTTTGAACCCCGGTATCCAAAACAAAAGTCCTTTAAGGGGAAAATAAAAGTATGAATAAAGTACTAACTTTTGGGTCTTTAAATGCTACCAAGTCTTAGTTTCACATAACAGTATGCTACAACTATTTATAATTCTAAAACTAGAAATTTCTCAAGGATTTGGGTGCTAAAAATGAAGAATATAATATTAATTTGACAATAGCACTGATTTTGTTTCTCTAAAAAATGTACATCTGCTAATACATAACATTTTTTTTTTAGGAGTAGGTGGACCCATAAATAAGATAACTGTTCTTCAAATGCCGTTAGCCAGCGTTATTAACAGAAATGCTTGGAGGAGGAATCCTAAATTATCCTCCACAATGCTGGGCACTCAGAGTTTCTTTCTTTGGAAAAGTGTTTTTGTGTTTTGGTATATTACTTGACTATTTTAGAAAATTTTACATTGTATCTTCTTATAAGGCACTTGGAAATTCACTTTTGTTGGTATGACTTTCCAAATGTACTTTAACATATATTCATAATATTTATATTCCTAAGGGGAGAGATTTTTTTTTTTTTTTTTTGAGACAGGGTCTTACTGTGGAATCCAGCCTGGCCTCGACTCGCAGTGTAGCCCAGGCCGACCTCAAACTTGCAGCCCTCCTGCCTTGGCATCTGGACTGCTGAGAGTGTAGGCAGGCACCACCACACCCTGCTGAGACTCCTTGTAAAGAATAGTTGTGTCTTGTCTTAGACCTCAGTGTTTCACAGTCCTAAGAGGTGATAAAGATGACCTTCTAACGGCGGGTGTTTCTTCTTGCAGCTTGGTTTGCCCTTCCCATGCTTGTGTCGTGTGCCCTGTAACACTATGTTTGGGTCCCAGCATCAGATGGTGAGTTCTCCTTTTGATTTATAAAATAATATGAACTTGTGTTTTGAACTTATGTCGTCTTTTCAGCTGAAGTTGTTTGCTAGCCTCCACATACTCACTAGCTTTCCTTTGCTGCTTTAGTCTTTGCTAGCCTCCACATACTCACTAGCTTTCCTTTGCTGCTTTAGTCTTTCTGTGGCATCTGTGTTTGAAAGGCCATAAGGCTGGCCGACATACAGGTCAGGAACCTGGCTTCCTTTTTTCTTTCTTTCTTTGGGGAGGGGCTGAGTAGTGAATCCAGAGCATCGTGTGTGGTGAGCGCACACTACACAGTCCTGTTGCATTCTCCAAGTAGGAGCATGGCAGCCAACTAAGCACCAGGAACTTTTGAGAAGTTATTATTGTGGCTTGTACTTACGCGTGGCAGATTTTGAAATTGAAGTTCTTTGTAATCTTGGGATTGAGCTGTTCCTATTTTTAGACATACAGGTGATAAATTTCTGCATATTGAAATCAAGAAAAGGAATAGATCCTAGGCATCTATATTCTTTTTTCCAGATAGTTTCATATTTAAGCTAAGTACATCAGTTATCAATACAGATACTTTCTTGGCTGTTTTTCTGAGGAGATTGAGAGAACATATTTCGTTAAATGTAAATATTTAAAACGAGAGAGATAACTGGTCCTGCATATGTACACTTTAAAAAAAATTTTTATTGGTTCTTTGAAAGTCTCACTGTATAGTACAGACTGACCTTGAGTCAGTGGTCTAGGCTGGCCTCAAAATTGTGGCAGTCTTCCTGCCTCAGCCTCCCAAATGCTGGGATTACAGGCATTGCCACCACGCCCAGATGTACACTTTTTACCTTTTATACAACTTAACTAATTTTTCTCATTAGTCTTTAAGGAAAATTTTGATTTTCATATCTAGTGTTAGGGAAAAAATGGTCAAGAATAAAAA